TATATAAAAATAAATAAATACAATAATAATAAATATGTAGAAAAAACTTCGTATACGTCTAAATCATATAATGTACTGACATGATTTTACTAAAAAGTACTTTATACAGATTATAACACAGATATATTTGATTTCCTTCCGTAACTGTACACAAGTTTTTACTATTTAAACAATGTTACAAGCATTGCTAACAGATTACATAAAATAAGCATATGTCTAATATGAACTTTGGAATATTTGCATATAATCATACAGGTCACAAGTACAAATAAATTTCATAGATTGTAATCCCATGCAATTCTTATGGAAGTAGTAACTGCGTAATTTGAATGATTGCATCTCATTATAGTCGTTTCCTTCGCAATATTAGAATACGCAATGTTAAATACAAATCTGTATAACTTGTAGCAATAGCATATTATATGTAAATGTAAATATGCATATGTGCGTGCATAAATTCTTTAATTTGCTATCGAAATATGCTTTATACAATTCTATAAATGTTATTTTCTTTGTAAGAATAAATCTAGTTAATTTTATATTTGTGTAGTAAATGCAAATTCTATCTGCTTGCATAAAGCACTTTCACCAACAAGTTTCTCGTGATACACTTTGTGTAGTACAAAAATTCATGCATTTTCTTCATTCCTTGATTTCTCACTATTTAAATCTTCTTCTTCATAAAGCATCAAGTAATCAGTTTAGTATCTTAAACTTGTTTTCGCCCGATTTCAATTTCAAAAGTTATACGTAACCGTAACTATTCACAGGTTAATCGTATTAACTAAGCACATATTGCTATATCATACAGTTTACAACAAATTTTATATGTTGTATATACCTTATGCAAAATTTCCAAAGTCTGGTCTATACCTTTGTGTTACAAAACCTGCCGCACATGATTGTTAATACTACCCTTCAACAAGTGATACTCTACAAATATGTGCAAAACCTAACACACTAGGATTGTCTAGTGTGTTAGACGCCTATTTCATATGGTTTCTTGACTGTTGACCGATTGCGAGCTGCGGGAAGTTTTCCGATTCATTGGTTCCAAGTAAGCCGCAGGTGCCCATCCTTCTATTCCAGTACCTATCAATTTTACAAACCACCAACCAGCACAACCAATTTTAAGAAGTTCTAGATTCTCTCCTTCACGCATAGTAACTTCTGACTGTCCAACTGCACAATAATCAGCTAATGCTACGTATCTTCCACCCTAATTGGATGTGAAATTTTACAGGGTATTAACTGCATCTAGCTACTTAATTAATAAATCAAAAGAAACTTACAGGAGCAGGACCAGGAGTTTCAGTGAAAGCATCTTCGTCATCAGTGTTACTGTTCTCTGAACTCCATGCAACTTCATCTTCTGTCGACTGGGAAACATCTGTAATGTGTGATATAACACTGCTACCATCAACCGAAAGAGTTCTTAAAGATCCAGAAACACTGCCTTGAGCTTCCCATGAAATTGTTTGTCGCAAAGGTCTACAAATATTTTGTGTAAAGCCGTCATTGTCACCAGGGTTTTCAGTTTGTTGTGCACATAATATCGCATACTTGTGATTAGTCTTTCCAAGAGCAGAATTTTGTTTTCCCTTAAGCTCAGCTAATTGAGACATTAAAACACCTTTAATTTGTAGCACCCAAGACTGTTTAACATCTACAGTAGGTGCCTGTATTGTATGTACTTCAGCGCGACCCTGAAGCCAAATTTCAAAGCGTCTTGCATCGCCTTTTACTGATTCTGTTAGTCCAATTTGTGACATCTAGAAAAAAAGGAATTATATATTTACACACGTCGTAAATAAAGTTGAATACAAAATATTACAACTTACCTTTAGATATCTCTTAAAATGGTATGTAGCTTTATTATGAGCTTGTGGTTTACTATGCTTACAAAATATAAGAGCCTTTTCATATAAGAATATATGACGTTGAGATGGCTTTAACCTAAGCAACCGTTCTCGCTTACTACTGCTCCATACACTGAAGGAGCCTTGCAACAAAAGTTCACCTTGTGCGTTTAGATCTCCCTAAAAACAATTATTAATTTTTTGTATGATAACATTGAATAGAATTAAGTAACAATAAGATAAAAGTGTGTATAAATTCTACATAATATTGAGCTCACACCAAATCCAGTGATTGCAGTCTGATGCATGCTATCGTTAACGCACTTCAAAACAACAAGCATACAATCTAATGCTTCTTTTAACTCGGTACAACATGATGGTTCGTCGCTGTATTTTAAAAGATCTTTTAATAGCAGCTGGTACTTTGTTATACGTTGAACAGGTTTCAGAAGGTATGCAGCAAGAGGTAATTTATGACCAAGCCTTTGCTGACAAGCTGCAAGAAACTGTGGTTCATTTTGTATCTGTTCTCGTAATCTCTCGGATCTTGGAATATTTTGACAATAATAACTATACAATCTGAAGAACACCTCGCGCTAAAAATGAACGTAACTTTATTAGTTTCCTCTAATTGATTAAAACTACGTATGTGTATAGATGCCTACCCTTTGTACAAAACACAATGCAACAAGTTCAGTATTCGAAATACAATTTTCTAAATCTCTTAAAAACGTTTCTCCATGAAAAATGTAAATATCTTCTAAGTTTCCAAATAAAATATCCCCTTTGCCTATCAATGCTGCCGGTACTAAATGAGCCATTGCTTCATTTATTAATTCCATTTTGTACCCTTTAATTATGGAACCTAATTCAGCGACATAAATTCGTTCAGTTTCAACAAGTTCCGCTAAAACATGTCCGCGTTTTAAGCGCAAAGCTTCTGCATCTTTAGATTCACTTTCGGGCGATGAAGATTCCCCTTCTATGGGACTCATCTCCATCTAAAAGAGAATAAATCAATGAAAATAATCGATAATCGAGTACACATGAAATTAAATAAAATAATAATTTACCTTTGGCATAGTATTAGCCTTTTTAAGAATTCTTCCAGGTTTCACAATTTGAGGCAGTGTTTGTAACGGCTTAACTGGTTCAGGTGTTACAGTTTGAACTGGTCTTGCTGGTTTAATTAACTGCTGTTTCAATGTCATTATCCTTTTATCACACATCAACGACACATCTTCTATTCTTTGTAAAACCTAATACATCAATTACATGAAATAAAGTCAAGTAATTTTCTGAAGATAATTTTATTTTGCAGAAGATACATACTTGACTAATAAGAGCTTTAGTTTCAGGCATTATAGAATCTTGAAAAATACATCTGGGATGATGGAATTCTTCTGCAGCTTCTATTAATTCTTGTAACTCTTGAAGTGCTTGGTCTGGTGGTGTTGAATTATTTTGTGACGCAAGTAATTCTATTCCACGCGTACACCACGTGTTTGCCTATTATCCATATAGTTAAGAATAATTTTTTGCTATATCTTTCTTATTTCTTAATAACATCTAACAGAAGTAATCACCTTATCTATACGTTCCATGAGTTCCCTGCATTTGGTTAACATATGTAATCGCCTTTCCAGTCTCTGACTTAAAATAGTACAAATTCTCTGTAATTCGACGCATTTGGGTTCTACAACATCTGTAGGGCATTGATGCCTTCCAGATAGTAATGTTTGACCAGCGGATATCACTTCCTCTGCTCGTTCAATATCTCCCTATAAGTTTATGTAATTTTATTCATGTTTAGCACATATCAATATAACAGTAACAAGAAAACTACAAACAGTCATTGAACGTTTTCACGAATTTTCATTGTTTATCTAAAAAAGTATTTAAAAAAAAGATACTATCTTACGTGCAGTGCAAAGGGAGAAATAACAATGATATTCATTCTCAAAGTCCATCATGCCAATATAAGGCATGAATTAAATCCCTATTCTTTGCCTCTTGAATGAATGATTTTAAAATTTCTAATATGTATCTGTATACACACTTAATGAAACAAGAAGTGTTATAGAGATTTAATTCACAAACCCAAATAAAGAAACTGCTAGAAATAACAATTTTTTTTGTGGTATTTTACGATATATCAAAAATTTCAAAAGTTGAAATACTAAATTATTATCACTGTATTTAAAAATGTAAATCTATCACAAAATATATGTATTTTGTTGAGTGGATTGCTTACCAAGACCCAAATCCACATGGTATGCAACAAATAGGACTATCGACAAAATGAGGAAGCGGTGCAAAATAACATTTGTGCATGATGTGCATTATATGTATATGTGACTGCTTATAAAAGTATCCAAACCAGAATTTGTATTAAAAA